TTAACAGGGAAGGTTTCGCAGGCTATTTAGCCCGGCTAGGTTGCCTTGTCTTCGCGGTCATCCCATGAAGCTACACAAGCCGCGTTCTGACCGGATCAGGGCGGAAACTCGGTTATCGCGCGGAGTTATCGAGCGATGGAACTCGCTTCCAGAAAGTGTAGTCAGTGAGCCTACGGGTAAGGTTTCGAGCGTCAGTTAGACGCTCTTGGGTGGCAACACGAAACCTTTCCCTTCTCCTGACCATATCCAGCTTCAAACTTTTAGTTGGTATTCTGTCATTCTTTTCACTCTTTGGTGTTATCCTTCATTTACATGATTTTATTATTCTTTACCTTCCATTTAATTCCTACTTCTTTCTTACTTACGTAACCTATACAGCGGGGACTGCTAGTGCAGGGAAAGTGAGCATTAATCGGGTGCTGAGGGTGTGTTTCGTTTTAGGTCTATCATGACCTAGCATTTTAGCATTTCCTGGCTCAACGATTTGCTCAAGAAGGAACACCCAAGGGATTTTCCTATCGTTCCAGTCCATCTGAATCTGGTCTGCTTTTTCTTCTTGATAAAGGGAGCAGGGTTCCGTGACTCTTTTCCGCTTTGAGCAGAGTCAAGCAAACCGTCAGAACATGCCTTCTCGGTGAGAGCCGAGATATCCGGCAGCTTCGGCTGACAAGTAGCGCTTGTGGGAGTCTTCCCCCGTTGCACAACCGTCAGACGGTTTGACAAGTTACGACACATGATTTTTTTCCGGTGCAAAACAACTATTTCTTCTTGTTTAACAGAGAACTTACGGGGTATCCTTGCTCTCCTTCGCTTTACTCGAGGGCACCCTTGAACCAGCAATCCGGAGTCGATCAGGGTAGCTTTAATTACGACGTCCGAAGCAACTTCATTTTTGTGGTCGGTAGCCATCTGTACGGGTGACATAATGATTGGTGCCACCAGTTGATCTCTAGCGTAAGCGAGCAAGCTGCGTTTTTGGAGACCGGAAGCGTCGTCATGAGCAGACCAACGTTAAGGCGAAGGTCTGAGAGCATCGACAACGAACGCCCTACATTTCGCAGCCGGGTATCAGGGGATTCGTCTCTCGTAGGATAGACCGCGCGGCCTCGCCGGCAACTGCAGCAATTGGCACAACTGAAAAGAAACTTCTCGATGAAGGCCTGCGCTGCGTACTGCTCGGTATTTAGGTCCGTACAAAGCTGGTGGTATCATCGGTTGCAGACATCACATTGCATACCGCCGGAAGCGGTGGTTACTGGTATATTGCAGCTTGTACTGCCACAAAGTGCGATAACCTCAGGATCCAAGGTTAGGTCAGATAAATCTACAAGGACAAGTAGAGACCGACCGTCTCACAATAAGCCGACAAAAAGACAAGTACATGGTTGCCAGGAATACCTGCACTAAGCCAACCAAGGAAGGGTAAACAGCACTAGAAAGACAATGCAGGCGTATAATCCCCAACAATTTTATAAACCATGCATAAAGTAGTAAGTTTCTAAACTGTTGGATGCCAAATAAATAGGTACGTCTTCTAACGGTGTACACGACTTATTTGCGTTACTTGACCTTTTTCATTACGTTGTTGCCTACGTTATATTTTAGTACCACTTATTTATTTTAGAAAGCGTATGTATTTTCTCTGGAGCGCGTCCTCACGATGCGCCGGAGTTCGGCTGTATAACAGTACTTTACCGAACGTTAACTTTGCATGTATCCTGAGGCCGTTAATCCCGACCAAGCGTCCATAAAACTGACGTCGAGCTTCGTGTAAGGACTTGGGTGTAGCGCGTCACAGTGTATCCGTAGCGAGCAAATTGGTAAGATATCTTTGAGCTTATCCTAATATGCCATTGTAGACATAGTATGCCCTCACCTTTTCGTTGTCGCTTAAGCAAACTCAAGTGCAAGTAAAATGAGAAGGTAATAACATCACGCGAGCATTCCTTGTTCAGGAGGTCGTGGGGGCCGTTTGATTGCACTATGAGAAAATTGTGTTGCTTTAGGACGTTTCGTGGTACAAATGGTACATAGCAACGAGGTTACCTAGCGACGTTGCCAAGGAGGTATGTGCAAATAGTTGGAAATAGCTGGAAGGAGTGGAGGGAATGGGATTGTGTGTGAATTATGAGAACATAGAAATGGTTACCGGTAAGGGTGCATATGTATGATGTTTGTTTTATTATTTCGGTGGCCATACTTGATTTCTGCTAACACTATGGCTGTGGATGATAGTGAGCTGTTCTGGTCTTTGGCCCTTGGGAAGTATGAAAGCGTTGAAGAAATTGAGGATCAATTGGGAAGTTTTCAGATTGAAACGACTACTTGTTTTTACCGAGTTTCCTCCATGTCTGCTGCGGCGTACCAGCGTGGAAGGCGGAAGCAGTTGCCGGATGCGGACGGCTACGGTTACATCCTGTACCGTTGCGTACATTGTCAACGTTCAGGATCGCGTGGCAAGCGGTGAGTTAATATTTATGCAACACGTGAACTAACGCATGTAGATACAAATCCTACAAATGCAAGGCGCGATTCTCGGTGGTTGTGAAGGGGGTAAATATGTCGAGAGAAGTTACTTCCTGATCCATAGTCATGATTTTCACTTGCGTAACCCTGACGGTATGCAGGCAACCGTCGGTTGTCACCGCGGCAGGAGATGGAGGTGCTGCGTTTGATGGACAGTTTTCATAGCACGCCGGATTTGAGGCGCTTCATCTATCAGGAGTACGGCAAACGTGTAACCCGTGTGGACCTGAGTAATCTGCGGATTCGTCATCGAAATAGAACGTTATGTGAAGTGTCTGAGGTGGCAAGGATGTTGGAAGGTCACGGTGTTTGCCGATTGGTGTCTGAGGGTAGCCAGATTCGGTATGTATTCTTCTCTCCATCTGTAGTCCGTGGCATGGTTAAGCGTTATGGCGAGGTCTTATTGTGCGATGCGACACACCAGTTAAATTATGGTGGATACATTTTGTGGCATTGCATGTTCCTGGACGTACCAGGTCTAGGGATTCCTTTCTTCTACGCCCTATTACCGGATGAGACGTCGTATAGCTAAGGGCAAGCGGTGGAGGCGATGCGGGAGCTGGTGCCTAGCAGCATACGTTGCCGCACGGTGGTGTTGGATAAATATGCTGCTCAGTCGCGGGCGTTTCGACATTTTTATCCCAACGCGAAGATCGTGTTTTGCCGGTACCATGTCAAAGAGGACATGGCTCGACGTTGCGGTTGCATACGTGGGATATCAGATGCTCGCCGAATCCAGTTACGCGCGTGGCTTCATAACCTTATATATACTCGTGATGCGTCGGTATTTGAAAGGATATTGAACGCGGTGCGACGTGGCAATCCGGAATGCTACCGGTATTTGTGCACGACGTGGCTCCAAAACGCAGACTCTTGGGCGGCTCACAGATAAAGGGAAGCTGTGCTTTTTGGATACCATACAACAAACAGGGTAGAGAATGAGAACAAGCGTCTTAAGAAGTATTTGTCGGGGAGGTCCTCCTTGCTCACTCTGTTCACCTGCGTGGTTGATAGGGTAAGCAGTATCGTGCACAAATAAAACAGCATAATAGCTGGGCGTTGCATGAGCGTCGTTTCTGTTCCATCGGAGGTGTCCTGAGTGGCTTCGGTTTAGGCACAGCTGAGCGATTTCGCAGGGAATGTCTTCATAGCCCATTTTTGTGCCACAAGCATTCTCGGTTGTCGGTCTGATGGGCCTTATTGGTTAGTTACTTTTCCTCGTTCGAAAGTGCGTCGGGTATACATAACACGCGGCAGTGAATGCGATTACGAGTTCAGTCGGCAGTGGCGGCTCTTATGTGCTCACATTTGTTATGTGGCGGCGCTTCACGGACATTCCACGGAGGACCTAATACATGGATGTCGGTGGATTGCACCCCGGCAACCCCCCGCAGGCACCTCAGACTGTGTTCCGGGGGATGGTGGTGTGCAGATTCTAGATCGTCATGTAGCGGATAGCGATGCGGTCGTATGCCATACGATGAAAGTTCGCAAGACACAGGATGTTTTGTCAGACATCGACACGCAATTGTGCAGCTACGGATAGGAGAACTACACTGCGGCGTTAAACTTCCTGAAAATGGTTGCGTTGCTGATGTCCAAGGAAGGCAGTTTCCAGTTGTATGGTGGCGCTTCTAAGTGCCCTGCCCTCGTTCTGCTGGATACGGAGGCGAACGTCAGGATGTTATGTGGCTTACCGACGCCGGTAACTTCGCATGATGGCACAGCGGTCGGGGTAGCGACGACGTCCGGAGGCGATGTGCCGCACCCGTGCATGCAACGGAGGTGAATGGCGTCAGCCCTGTGGTATCAACGGTAACACCGTTTCCATCCACATCGGCAACTGGGTCCAGGAAGCGCAAATCGCCCCTTAAGTGCCGTGTGATGGAAGTGAGCCTCAGTAAGCGTGCACTAATGGGCAAAGACTTCCGGAAGCTTCACACTAGGACATCCTCCTCCAACAGGGTTCCCGTTAAACGGAAACAGGATAAGCAGGGAGTCGGCTCAGAGGACCTCTGCGTAGTATGTCAGCAGGAGGATGATGTGCAAGTTTGCGGGGACGCGGTGCAGTGAGATGCCTGCTCCCAATGGTACCATGCGTCCTGTGTGTGCTACGCTGGTAACCAGGAATTCGTTTGCTTCTCGTTCTCCTCGTAGTGTCTGCGCAACCTACGTAAACGGCGTAGCACGGCATGCGCTGCAGGAACGCCTAATTTTCACGCCCTTCCATTACGCCCTTTGTTGTTATTGCAGACAGGATTGCGGTTTTCCCGCCGACGGGAACACGTGGGAACGAGAAGTGAACAAGGTGCCCAAATAGCCGCAGCAGCGCAGCTCCATTATGCGCCGGTAAGTTTCCCATTTCCCGTAATGAACCATGATTTAGGTCCCTATCATCGGGCTGTCATTTCCACAGCCAAACTCCCTGCCAGGGAAGGTGTTCCAATGTACCTCGGATGGCATTTGATGATTGCATGATAGGTATCCCTAGGTAAGGTTGCTTATCCGCCTTGACGGTTCTCATTTTCAGCGTACTTATCTCTCTGTATAGTAAATAAATAAATAAATAAATAAACGTTTATTCTCGACAATGCGAGACACACCAGTACAGGCATGATCATGATTAGCTAACATAGTGTGATCAAAATGTACAGAGTACATGTTTGGCATAACAGTGAATGTAAGTGTATAGGTGTATATATGTATGTAATTGCCTATGAATGTAGCTTGTATTTTTGAAGGTGCCGCAGAATTCTTGACTGTTTGTTATCGGTAGGAATGTGAGAATAAGCGATCGATGTCCGTGAGTTGGATACCATTTTCCGGATGTCCACGGGCCAGTGACTTTATTTTGTGGCGAATCACATCCGCCACGTCACAGTGTTGATAAGCAGACATTTGTGGCTTTTTATAGAGAGAACGCTTGCCGGGCGAAAACCCACCACATCCTGGAACACTGCCGCCGAACTATTTGCTGGAACGGGTTAAACTCGAACCACCCAGCTGGCACCACGAGGAGGTTGTTCGGCTAGCCAGCCCGTGCATAAATGATGTTTCAGGTCCTCATCAGCAGCGACCATGTGATGCATCAATCATACCTATCCACAGGTAACACTGGTTTTCCATGATAGGCTCTTTTTCACAGCCACAGTTATATGTGCCGCCCATTGGCTTCCGACGTAACGATGCCAATGCGCATCTTCCCATGTACTGCCTCCGCCATTTGATGCATCATGGATACCTATCGACAGGTAACACTGGTTTCCTATGATAACTTCTCTTTCAGACCCAGAGTGATTTGTGTCGCCCATTGCCTTCCGACGTAACGATGCCACTTAGCCTGTTTTCACGTAATACTTCCGCCATGTGATGTATACCTCATACCTACTCACAGGTACCATAGCCTTTCTATGATCGTCTCACTTTCAGAGCCACAGTGATATGCGCTGCCCATTGCGTTCCCTCCAACGACCCCAGTTACTTGCATCGGCAACCGGTTAACCGTACCTTCCAACAACCTGACACCGTAAGTTACCCTAAGGCAAAATGGTAACTCACTTCTAACCACCCTCATTAATGCCGCGTCTCCCCATTGTTAGTACCTTGTGAAGTATCCACAAACCATTTCTCAGTGTTCTCGCTTCGTGGGTAACGAGCCGTTAAGCAACTCACCCGCGAGGTCGTGAATATTTGTGAATGGATTAAACATCATATGCCACCGGTGCATCAACTTTACATGGTGCGGTTTAAAAATCCATTTTATTTTCCCCTATGAAGGATAACGTCACCGTGTATCTTTGACGCAGTGAGACTTGGGGTACACGCCTACCACAGTACCATTCCCATTTACCAGCTTGGAGGCATCAACATCAATGAAACGCGTTGCCATACCACAGGTTAGTAACCCCTTGTGCACGTCGCACTCCTACTTGCCGCGTGCAATTTTTCCCCCATAGACTGTTCCGCTTTAGCACTGTTATACACCGACAGGCATAAGGTTTACTACAGGGACTCAGTTCAGCGTGTATATCTATGTATTGTACGTCACGATTCCCCGTAACTTGGTTTGGTAACCGTAACATCTACCCTCTCACGGTGCGTTTCTTTGCAACAGCATGACGGCATACATGTCAGCCGTAATCCACTGCTACAAATATGGCGTTAACGAGCATGCCGACGGTACATCCACATGTACCCTTCCTAAGTGCTCCTTATTACTGCGTTCAAGGGTCTTCACAAGTTCACTCAGTCGGCGTGCATATCTCCTGTTCCCTATGCATGCCCCTTTTCCATGCGTTGCAAAGATGGCAGAGGCAAGCAGTTTGGAGGCGAAGGAGATCAGACTGATTCCACTGTGGCTGCGGCATTACGATCGTTAGCCTCATTTGCAAACTGGGTCTAGGACGGAGCGGCTGCAATAGGTTAGGACAGATTTCTGCCCCAACAGTTTGACTATTAACTCTTGTAAACCTTCCACAACAGCAAGTCCCCGAATTTGAAGATGGCTGGAGGAAGAGCAGCAGGTCACGCGGCTTTATTTAAGTTTCGCAGTTTCATTTCACTTTGGACTTCTGAACGAGCGGGTGGATCCAAAGGGACAGTCCACGAAGCAGGGCGATCAGTGGCCGTCGAGGAATGGAACCATTCCAAAGGTTGATGGTGAGTGCTGCAATACATTCGCCGCTTACCCGTGCCGCTCCTTGACTTCCAACCTAACGGCGCCACTGAGCCTCCTCCATGTTATCGCCTTCGCCTTGCTATGCCATGCCATGGCATCAGATGCTTCACGAGGTCCTTTTATCTCCATTGCATACGTCACGCATTTATCATCATGCATTGTTTGTTTCACTTACCCTGCTAAAGTTCCTCATATTGGGAGACTGTGGTACCTCACTGAGGTACGGAAGGTTTCGGTGTACAAGTTTCCCACCAACGATCCCATTTAACTGGATCCGCAAGCGGTTATCCGTACTTTCCAGCAACCCGCACCGTCAGTTACCCTACGCCAAAAAGCTAAGTAACTACTAAACACCTTAATTAATGCCGGGTCTCTTCGTTACAGGTACCTTGTGAAGGATCTACAAACCATTTCTCAGTTTTCTCGCTTCCTGGGTAACGAGTCTTCAAGCAGCTCACCGGCGAGGTCGGGAATATTTGTGATTAATTCAAAGATCATATTTCACCGGTGCATCAACTTTTCGTGCTGCGTTTATACAGCCATTTCCTTTCCCCCCATGAAGATTAACGTCAACATGTATCTCTGACGCAACGAGGCTTGCGGTACACGCCTGCCAGAGTACCATTTTTACTTACCACAGTTGAGGCATCAACGTCAATGAAGCGGGTTGCAATAGCACAAGTTAGTAACCCCTTGTGTACCTCACCTCCTACTTGCCGCGTGCATTCCCCCAATAGACTGTTCCGCTTTAGCACTGTTATACACCGACAGGCATAAGGTTTACTAAGGGACGCATATCAGGCCCAGCTTCATCTTGCTGTCCTATCCGGACTCGTCTGAACGGTCACCTGCTATCTGAACCACCTCGGACTTCTGAGATCTCAATGACCTAGGCTCTGCCGACGTACCGTCCTGTATCCCGCAAATGAAACGCATTGTTGACCCTGATTAATCCTTATTACTATGTCCCCTTTCTTCCTGTACTTGGCTATTCTGCTGATGCTTTCCTTTATTACTTAGACCTACATTCTACGGTTTTCACTCTTTGAGCTGATATTCTATTCTCGTCTCAATGGTCTCTCTGATTCTGACTATTGTGCCCTGAATGACCAGGGATGGGCAGACTTATCGCTGCTCACATAACCCGGGGCATATCGTTGGCCTTTCCACCTCTTCTGAACAGAGTATTTTCCATTCCACACTCTACTTGCATCGCTTTTTCACTTAGACGTAAATCTCTTCGGACCTGACTCTAATCTATCCTCGGCTGACCAGTCTCATATTTCTGACTGCTCCCAGACATCCGAGACGTTATCACTCGAAGCTCTACATTCGAAACACCGTTCCCCTCATCTGAAGACTTTCCTTGGCATACTAACTGGCTTTTCATATAGCCACTTTCGTCCCGAAAGCTTCTTTTCTTATGACACGCCTTATTGTTACTCAAAGGTTAATTTGGCGGCCTAGCTTCATCTTGCTGGCCTATCCGGACTCGTCTGAACGGTCTACTGCTTGCTGACCCACCTCGGACTTCCGAGATCTCCATGACCTAGGCTCTGCTGACGTAACGTCCTGTATCCCGCAAATGAAATGCATTGTTGGCCCTGATTAATCCTTATTACTATGTCCCCTTTCTTCCTGTACGTGCCTATTCTGCAGGTGCTCTCCTTTATTGCTTAGACCTAAATTCTACGGTTTTCACTCTTTGCGCTGATATTCTAATCCCGTCTCAGTGGTCTCTTTGCTTTTGACTACTGAGACCCGATTGATCAGGTATTGGCAGAATGGTCTCCTGATTTCTGACCTCTCTCGGACTTCAGCGATCTAACTGTTCTAGTGACTGCCGACGCAACGCTTTGTTACCCTCACCTCAAGAACGTTGCTGATCGTGACTCATCCTTATTATCATATCCCCTCTCATCCTTAACGTGTCCATTTCTGCCGATTCGCTGCGAGAAAATTCATAGCTTACTGTGACGCCTTTCTCCTTATGAGCCGACGTTCTAGTCTGGTCTGAACGACCTACCTTCCGACTTCTGTGACCCTAATGATGTGGGTCGGCAGACCTAATGGTCTGTTCATACCACTTCGGAAATATCGTTTCCTTTGCCACTCACCAATAAAACCTTTTCCCTTTCTCATACTGTTTGCATTCCTTTTTCCACTGGTCAGGCACCTCTTCGGGTCTGGCACTACTCTAGCGGCGTCTGACCAGCCTCCTGCTTGCTGACCACTTCCATACATTCCAAACGTTAACTATCTAGTCTTTGCTGTCCTGGTACTCTGTCCCCTTAAACCTGAGCCCGTTTCTCGACATGCAACTGCCTTTTCATACAGCTACCTGCTTCCCAAACTGCTTTTCTGATGACACTCATTACTTTATTCTCACCTTACTTTGGAGGCCTAGCTTCAGCTTGCTGACTTACCCGGTTCTGACTGTATGCTCTCCTGTCCTCTGCCATCTATCGGATTTCTGTGATCCAATGATCTAGACTCTGCCAACGAAAGTCTGTTACCCTCACCGCAAGACCACCGCTGGTCATGATTGAACCTTATTTTTCATGTCCCTTTTTTTCCTTAACATGTCCATTTCTGTTGATGTTCTCTGTCAGCACTTAGACTTCACTTTACTAATACGATTTTCACCCTATGAGCTGACATTCGGGGCTCGTCTCAACGATCTCGTATCTTCCGAATTCAGTGATCCTAATGATCAGAAACCTGCCGATCCAACGGTCTGTGCACAGCACCTGGAGCACATCGTTGGCTTTCTTTTTCTTTCTCTTCTCACCCATAGAGCCCTTTTTCACACCCTAATCTGACTTATCTGGTCCTGGCTGTACGGCCTCCTGCCTTCCGACCACTCTCGGATTTCTGAGATCTAAATGATCTAGTCTTTGCAGACGCAATGCTCTGTCTCCCTTGCCTCCAGAGCACTGCTGCTTATGATTCATCATTAGTATATCCGCTTTTATCTTTAACACTTCTATCCTGCTGACGCTCTGTTAATTTCTGACATTTATAATACGGCTTTCTCTCCATGAGCCGATATCCTCCTCTCATCTCCAAGGTCTCCTGCTTTCCGAATACTGAGCCCATACTTTTGAACCATCTACAGGTCCAAAGGTCTGCTCGCAACACCTCCAGACCATTGTAGGCTCTTCCACTTCCCCTTAAGTGTCTCCTTCCCGATACATCCTTTCATGTTCGCGCTCTGTCTGCATTCCTTTATCCATTGGACGGATACCGCTTCGGTCCCGGCTCTACTCTAGCCACGTCTGACCCGTCTCCTACTTTCTGACTGTTTCCAGACATCCGAGACGCACGTGTTCTAGGTTGTGCAGTCACAACACACCCTCTCCCTCAGCCTGAGAGTTTCGTTTGACATGCTAACGAGCTTTTTATATAGCCTCTGTAGTCTCGCAAATTT